TCTTTGCCAAGACTACAACGTTGGACCAAGCTAAGCTTTTAGTCCACGAACTCGCAGTGTCTCGATAACGAGTCCAGCAGCCAAACGACTAGACTACCGACGCCACGAAGCCAGAGGGAGCGAGATGTGGAGCAAGATAAACCTATTATCTGAGTTATCACACCTGTCAGTTGGTGCTCACAGTTTGTCAGACTGTTTTGCAGCATTTTATTTTTCAACCCTCAAGGCTTTGTTAATGGTATGCGAGTCAGTTGTGAGGATAAAAGAGGGGGGGGGGGGGTTCATAGCCTGATACAATTTGCTCTCCCATGGCGAGGAATGCAGAGGTATAAGAGACAGGCTTATCGTACTTTACTGTTATGATCGTACAATTGCACCTTTTGAGTTTGAATGTACCACCAAGCCCAGGAGTAGGAAACAAAAGAGAACCATAATATGCTGTGCTAATGTATTGTTTAAAAAATTGATTAAACGCTCGGTGGAATACTAAAACTCAGTCCAGTACTACCGGGTGTTTCAGAGAAATTGTGTGGCATCGTGGTAAAAACAGGCGCTCGTCACAAAAATGAAATCGAAGAAAGAAACCGACCCCCCCCCCCCACACACACACGCACACACACGCACACACACGCACACACACACAATTAGGCAATTTTCATAATTTTTTAAAATTTTCTCTTAACATGTTTATTAACAATATGTTTTGGGTATATTGCCCTGAAACGTTTTGACGAAAGGCACACAAAAAATATAAATTTGCAGTTTCCAAGGGATATTTGGAAATCATCAAGCTTCAACAGTCATATTTTCTCGCTAATTTTTTTCAAGACACGCCCACTTCCTTCATTCACAAATGTTTTGACTTGTATTCAGATAAATATTGTAAAGGTATTTTGTTCATCAAAACATGACAAATTGAACAAGCTTTAAGATGATCATGATACTAATCACTCAATATGGCCAAAACTTGACGAGAGTCTTATTTCCCCGCGTCGAGACACAATTGATAGAGCCCTGTAGATTATTAAATGCGTTTCAGACAGACGTACGAGCTGCTAATAATTCAAGTTTACAAATAGATCTATTCTTTACAAGTCACCTCACTCTTGTTTAAAAACGACAAAGCATCCTGTTGAAACTGTAATAAACTCAGCATAAATGGGGGTACCTTTATGGTCTGACGTTTGTCATGTCCTTGAATAAATTAAGATCACATCGATCGTGCACTATAACGTTCATATAGAAGAATCACAACGACCGATGGGCACAGATAGGCCCCCAGTAGCGGCTGTGGTGAAGCAGTTCGGCGCCTCACTGTCCCACGCACGAGACCCGTGTTGGATTCCCGAGTGGGGAGAATATTTGGTCGCTTTTAAGCACAAGGGGGCTATCCCTTAAAATGCTGCCTTGAGAATATCAAAGGAAAAGTTTTTGCCCGTTGTTCAGTTTCTTTAAAGAGAAGGAGAGTTTTCTCTATAACCAAACAAATGAAACCAAACTTCTCCTACAGGTAGGGCAATGCCTTCTTTTGGGGAACGTCAAGATTTCTGGAAATCCCCGAAATCTGGGTTAGCCCGCTTGACCTTAAAAGCGACCATTTTTTTGGAGTATCTTGGTCTTTGTGCGGGGTATTGTATCGCTCTCATCCCAGTTGGCAATGACAGGCAAGGGGTTGGGGGGGGGGGTGTTCCTTTATGGTCTAAATTGTGTCAAAGGAGGGGTAAAAATACAACCATTATTTTTTTTTTCAATTTCCCAGGATGCCCATTTGACAGGAGAGGATAAAAATTGTTGAATCTAACTATCAAAGACTTCCATGTCAATTTTTCATGCACTTGTACTAATTAAAAGCACACCATTTCTTGAGATTGTGTATTTACGCTACTTTACAAAAAAAAGTTTTAAAAAACAGGTTTTTCCGCATTTTATTGTTGGTCCATTTGTACTCTACGCTATAGACAAGAAAGGGTGGGGGGGGGTTGAAAGTGAGTCCAGAAATCCAACACCAAATAAAAGGTCAAAGCGCGAAAGAAGTTGTATTTTTGGCACATGAACGACACATTGGGATTATGGACATCTTTAAAGTATAATACATGTATAGCTCCTTCACCTTTCTCCCGTTAATTCTAAAATAATTGGTGCCGCTATGGGGTCGTAAAACATCTACAAAAGTGCTTGACAATTTGGGCGATATCGCCCACTAGTGGGCCATGTTGGAAATTGTAGGCCTAGTGGGTCGTGGAGATTACAAAGACTGACAGGTGTTACTTTACGCCCCCAAATACATGAAGTATGTGTAAATGGGAGGTACGAAGATTTTAGCCCCTTACAGGTGGCAAAAGTTGGCCCTAACAAAAACACATACAGAAACAGGTTGACAAGCACTGACCTACAAATATATTGGTTCTGATCTGGTTCGTTTGTTTGTTGTTGTTATTGTTGTTGTTGTTTCATTTTTGTTTTGTTCCGTTTTTGGTTTCATTTTTTTCTTTATGTTTTGTCTTATTTTTGTTTTATTTTATTTTTTCTTTCTTTCTTTCTTTCTTTTTTGAGGGGGTGGGGGTGGGGAATCAACAAAATAAAGCCTAGATCTAGTAACAGACATCCACACACGCTTATCTAGTGGAGCCGAAAAGTGGGGATCCACCATTAGTCTCCTACTACTCTTAGCCCGGTATCCTATCAATGACAAAACCGTGCGTTCAATAAAGAAAAAAAAAGACACCACCCCCCTTCCTTTTTATTGTTGTCGTTGTTGCTGTTCTTCTGAATAGCGTAGACTGACTGCCATTGTCGACGCCCTGCTTTTTTGTAGTTGCCATTATAAAACCTTCTCAGAGATAAATGTTTTCCATTTTCAGACTAAAACGCAGATTTTTTTTTTTCAATGCGTTTGTTCTAGTTCTACAATTTTCTCCAAAGAGACCAATAAGTCAGGGAGATGCAACTGGCCCAGACATGTCGAAAGCACAGAGGTTTGCGCCATGTCAAGTGACGTGAAAAATGCTCTCCTCCCTCTTTGGAATATCTTTGTTCCCTTCCAGTCTACGGCCATGGCGGGAGATCAAAAGCACTGCGTTTATCTCATTCTTTCTGCTAGACTTGTCGTTAATGATAGAGGATGTAGCTTTTCGGTAATCGAATGGCATGATCACCATTGGTTCAGTGAGATTTAGTTTTTCATTGACCGTAAAAGCACAATTTCTCTCTACATATATGGCAAAGGGATCAGGTTTGGACACGCATGAGAGAAGTTGCTGACGCTAAGGAAGACAATTCAACCTGGGCTAACCCGTAATCAAAGTTTTATTTCTATACACTGTCTGGGATCCACTATCCGAAGAAGTCGAGAAAACACGACTTAAGCTGCGCAAATAAATGGCCCAAAGTTTTCACATGGACACAGTGTAAGCTGTGTACATTCTTTGTTTTCGTCCTCCGGATTATTCAAAGGATCAATGTGGACAAATAGACATAACCATGCCACCTTTACATCTGAACGGGAATCTTATTAATGTGCTCAGCACTCCGGAAACGTCCACACCTTTTGAACATTGGCAACTCTTGCTTCAAAGCGGTTTTTCTTTTTCCTCTAAACGCCTTGGCTTTTCTAAACCATGTTTTCGTTCAAACGTTCTCACAAAGAAGTCTGAGAGATTTGAAACGATGCCGTGTCTTTTATATCTTGTTATTACGTTCATTTTTCAACTGACTTTTGAATCCAAGCTTTCCACTTCACCCTACCAGTGACCATATTATATTGTATAAAGTAAGTTCACCAGGTTCCTTGCTCGGATCGTTCGTGCGAGTCCATTCAACATTTATTTTCCAGTCAATTTTCAGTTGTCAGAAGTTCAAGCTACTTTCGTACGACCGTTGGATTGTGTTTATCATTTTCACACACGCAACATAGATCAATAAATAATGAACTTATTGCTCATAATTTATCTAAGATTGTCAGATGCAGTGTCCGGTATACTATAATGCCCTTACTTCTTATTATAGTACTAAACATTTTCTTTTAATTAGTTAACCTGAAGCCACACTGTGGCTCTTCATTAATGAGCGGAAACAAGCTATGTGCTGAAAGAGGATTTAGGGGGGGGGGGATCTAAATGGCAGTTCATGTGTTTGAATAACAAAAAATGAATAATAGTAAATTTAAGTACAGGAAATCACAAAAAAAGCAACCGATTTCTTTTTCTGAGTACGCTTAAAACAATATTCTACCCGGAAGCGACTGTTCATAAATGTTTCCATAACGTAAACAAAAATTTAAACCTCTGTTAAGCTGTAAACAACTGCCATTTGACTCGCTTTATCTACGGCTTGTATTTTAGTTTCCAGGACGTACGAAGGCAATGACGTAACGTCCTTACGTTGACAAGAAAGAGGTGACAGTGGGCCGGTCCTCTGATTAAGTCGTACCCAGATTACCGGCGTCTGTGGTGTAGCGGTTTGACGCTTCGCTATTGCACTCAGGAAACCTATATATGTTTTTCAAAAATATAAATTGTTGGTCTCGTCATAAGAACTTTGGGTTGCTACTGTTTATATGGTACTTTTTGTGACATTCGCACTAGGGTAGATAGTCTGGTTTTCGTGTTAATTAATAATGGGCCAATTTTTTTGTATAGTGTTGTTTTTAGAACACTATAACGTTATCTATCGGTCTTTTCTGATAGAGTGGAATTAAATAAGTGGAGAGCCTTAAATAATCCTACATCAATGTTCTAAAGCACTTTGTTGAGGATTCAAACCTCAGTTATCCCATTGGGGGCTCCCAATGATACCAGCCAGTTGGGGTATATTTGCACTCCTTGTGTTTTGTGACAATTTACGCCCCACCTCTTTCAATATAGCCTCTCCTTGGTTTGTCAGTGGACAAACTCTTTAACAAATTAAATAGTCTCAATATCATAAACATTGATTACCAAAGTGAAACGTATAATCTTCCCTCCGTTTACAAATATCGATCTGGTCACATTGCTTATACTCACGATTCTCAGCCATATGTTGGTCCAAATCATTTGCTTCGGCTCGTCCTAAAAAATTGAAGACAATAAATGTAAAATCATGAGATGCTGTTCAAAAGATGAAAATTTAAAAAAAATTATATCACATTTTTATTTTTCTTCTTCTCACTTCGTGTCCCACTCATAATATCCTATCAGCAAAACTACCTCATCACCAAGCTCGTGCGATAGTTTCTTTTAGATGAGGGGCCTGGCAGGGAACAAGCAATCTGCTGACTGATAAATGATCTACTGGTATTTGAGTAGGCTAGGAATAGACCAAAAAAATGGAATTATTTAAACTGTCTCCAGCACTCTACTTCTTTCTCTGTCAATTAAACTCTTCTTTCTCTCTCTCTCTCTGTTTGTCTCTTTCACTCCCTCCCTCCCCCCTCTCTCTCTCTCCCCCCTCTCTGTCTCTGTCTCTATTTCTCTGTCTCTGTCTCTCTGTCTCTGTCTCTCTGTCTCTGTCTCTCTGTCTCTCTGTCTCTGTCTCTCTGTCTCTCTGTCTGTCTCTTTCTCTCTCTCTCTCTCTCTCTCTGTGTGTGTGTGTGTGTGTGTGTGTGTGTGTGTGTGTGTGTGTGTGTGTGTGAGAGAGAGAGAGAGAGAGAGAGAGAGAGAGTGTGTGTGTGTGTGTAGGCGACTCTGGCTTCAACTGGTAGTTATTGCAACGTTACTAATAAAGGTGTGATGTCTTCTTTGGGGAACAGCTCTTTTTTTTTGGAACCCTTACAGTCAGTTACTCATTGCCAAACGTAAACTGGCAAGAAAAGAATTACAGTTGTCAAGTTTTGATTTTCTTTATAAATGCTGAAATAAGAATCTGGAGACAATTTTGATTCAAAAGGTGAGAAATTAGACTTATTTTCTTTACTTCACAACACATATGTTTGTATAGGAGATTGATTTGATGTTCCATTGACAATTTATTATCAAAGTAAACACTGGTTGTTGTTGTTGTTGTTGTTGTTGTTGTTGTTGTTGTTGTTGTTGTTGTTGTTGTTGTTGTTGTTGTTGTTGTTGTTGTTTTTGTTGTTGTTGTTGTTGTTGTTGTTTTGTTGGGGGGGGGGTTGGGAGGGGGGAGGGGGTTCTTCTTTTCTTTGCCTTCCCACTAAAAGTAGAATGTTCATAACCTAATTTGATGTTATTAATACCATTGGGTTCAAACTTTGTTTTGGGGTTACAAAGTAAAAACTCTGCCTTCTCCTCGAGACAGACTGAGTAAGAGACATTTGGAGAGAAACGGCTGAGGGAGGTTAGTAACCGTCTGAGTGCAATTCCTCGAAGACCGTCTAGATGCAAGAAAAAACAGTGAGTGCACATGTCTCTTGTGGTTAGATAGTTTTAGTTTAAGTTAGTTTTCCTTTTTTTCCTTTTTTTTTGTAGTAGAGTTTTACGGCGCTAGCAACTGCAAATAATGCCATATGAGTGCCAAGGGGTGGATGTCAATAGAAAAGTCCAAACAAAGAATCAGTCTTGTTCTGCTCACCACTCTAGCCTCAATAGCACAAAGTCTACTTCGGCTATCAAGGCACCACGGAAATAGCGGGTCTGTAGAGAGTGACAAACATACGAAAGAGGTAGAGGAAAAATGACGATAGTAAGGACGAGAAAAGAAAAGGCAGCAGTTTCCCCTATGTTGCTCCGGCACAGTATGAGCATGACATGGATAAATCAGACCATTTACAATTCTACTGTGCATAAGAACATATTACTATCCCCCCTTTGGGAATGGCCTAAAGACAACTTCAGTCAGTAGCACTGCCCTGGTGGGGGTGGGGTGGGGGGTCTGGTGGTCAGACTGCACAACCTGCCATTATACGTGTAACTAGTTCATCATCAGGGTCCGACTTTTTTGCTCTCGGGGAAGAAACGTTACACACATGTCCACTCATCATTTAAATAAGGACAGGATCATCGCTAAGACAACGAGAGATAGTATATGAATATCGGTTATTGAACGCCTATTATTTGACAGCTGGTATTGAATGCTTCTCAAAATACGGAGAATAGTTCGGAATACAAACTTTCTGTCGGGATTAAAGGAAATTGTAAAGAGATTATAGTCCTTTTTCAAGCAAAGATATGTGCTATAGCAGTGTAATGATGATGATGATGATGATGATGATGATGATGATGATGATGATGATGATGATTAATAGTATTATTATCATTATTATTGCCATTATCATTCTTCTTCTTCTTATTATTATCATTATTATTATCATTCTTCTTCTTATTATTATTTTTGTTGTTGTTGTTATAATTAGTAGTATTATTTCATTATCATCATCATTATTATTATTGTTGTTATCAACAGTATTACCAACATTGATATAATCAACATTATTATTACAAACAGTATTATTATCAAGCAAATGAGTAAACATTTTCAGCAACGAGAGTTATCAGGAAGAAAAATATTAAATAGATCCTGACCGATATTCGCTGAAAACAAAAACCCAGCGCGGCATGAGTTTTCACTCCATAATCCCTATGATAATTTAATCATAATATTATAAATGAGATAGATTAATATACTTCACGATAATAAATGACTGAAGACAAATCCACGCGCTAAAACAATGCTGTTTCTTTTTCTTTTTTTTTAAATTAAAAGTTATGATGGCCGACTTCTGCGGTGTATCGGTTAGGCACTCTGCTGTTGTATGCAGAAGACGTAATTTCGACTCCCATGCGGTGACAATTTATTCTATCGAGTATCTCGGTCTTTCTGTAGTGGCGTGTATTCCTCTCAGCCCGGGTTGGCCCTTGCGGTCAGGGCCGAAGCCCGCCACCTACGTGATCTAGATCTAAAATGTGTCGATGAGAGTGTGAAACACCTACATAAATTATAAAATATTCTAGCATTTGATTGGTCGGGAGAATACAAACGACGTCTTGAACAATCGACCCCAACAGTTACATCTCTACATTACTTCAGTTCATGAACTATTTTGACCCCATGCACCTCATTCGGACACAACAATATTCCTCTTCTGGATGCTCTTAACTTTTGTTCGATCGACAGCTTGAAATCAAATTTTAACACATACAAGATTCAAAATTAGAAAGAGGGAACTAAAATTGCCACTTATCTTTTTTTAAAAATAATCACCAATAGTTTGGACAGACGTTGCAAAACAGCTTACATTAAATATTTTACAATTGCAGTAAGAGCAAAAATCATGCACTTTAGGGGGGGGGGGGGGTAGCAGCATTCAGGTTACTACTCCAATAAATGTATAATTTCCTTTTTTTTCGTTTAACTCGAATGTATAAAAACGTTTCTTTTAACAACGTGTTTCATATTGATGAATTGGAATAGGTATTTCCTTCTATATTAAGTCCTGGAAAATTCATTTCTCGGTTGCACTTCATACTACGTCTTAAAACCCCTCCACTACTTTTTTGACGTGTATACTTCTACTAAAATTATCCGAAAATGTCGTTTCTAAGAAATGAAAGTTAAATCCGGCTATCTGAGAAGAAATTCTAAATATGTTTATTTTACGAACACACGCTTGCAGTTATCTGTGGTTTTTAGATAGGAATTGTTTTTTAATGACTAAAGATTTTTTCTAAAGAACGACGTCAAGAAAAATATTTGTTTTATTGTTCATTTGAGATTGAGTGTGTTGCAGTACTTTGTATCGAATACGATGCAGAGTGGTTAGCTCGTGCAAGGCATCACCATTTACTCAGTATAATACTGAACTTACTCAGTATAATACTGAACTTACTCAGTATAATACTGAACTTACTCAGTATAATACTGAACTTACTCAGTATAATACTGAACTTACTCAGTATAATACTGAACTTACTCAGTATAATACTGAACTACGGCATGCGCGACCTTTGTACATATCGGCGAAATCATTGGGTTTTTAATTTGGTTCTTTGAAGAGTTATTGAGGGTCCTCTATACCCTCCCACTCCCATCACACACACACACACACACACACACACACACACACACACACACACACACATACACAAACTCTTGGGGCGATCATATTATATCTTAAGATTCGGGGATAAAGCCTTCAAGGTACATGTAACGGGTTCAGTGTTTATAGGGAAGTTAAAACGCGTGAGTTCATTTGTTGATAGTTGTCAGATGAGAAATTACAAGGCGTAGCTGAGAACCTGAAAAACTTCAAAAATCGGAAAGAATCCTACTTAAAATCTCTCTTTTTTCTGGTGCTGAAAATGAAAATTGGATTTTTTTCTTCACAATAAAGGTATATTATACTAATAAATACACTGTGACGTCCAAAAGAAACTTGAATATAAATTCACCCAATCATCGTGTCAAAGCCTTGCACTACCCAGTTATACAGCATACAAATGTAAAGCTAAATAAATTCTGCTTCATGCGACCCTTTAATTTTTCATTTACGATAAAAATCGCTCGAGATATGGTCACTCGAAATTGACTTATAAAATCATTGTTGACAAAATTTTGCAAAATTAAAGAAAAATAAGTTTGCGCTTGTAGTTTTTCAAAATTCATAGAGAGTGTTATTGCCTTTTGCCCTAAAAATGTTTTATTACGATATTTTTTCAGAAAAATTGGAAAACAGAGCAGTCACAAATATCACGCAAAACGTGGACTTAACATTAAATCATGAGCTCATTAGTAATTTTTAAAATGAACATTTGGTTTCGTGTACAGCACCAACCCTTTCTGTACACGGATAGTGTTAGTTAGATTGTGGACATAATCATAATATGCCCCTGAGGAAAAGAGACCACACAATTGTCATGGTTTGGGGTGGCCTTGCTGAGTGAACAAAACCCCACTTGTGAGACTCAACGGATGGCTTCGTTTAGATAAGAACATTGTGTAAGTGAGGAACATCACGTCATGTCCTTACTTTCGTTATGGTGTCATTCAAGTAGACATCATTCTGCAGGACAAAGCACCTTCTAACAGGCGCTACGCTTTCTGCTATTTCTTGGAAAAGCAAATCTTATCAACGACGGAGTAGTCATCAGTAAATAGCCTGGATATAAATTCTACGGATGTGTGGAGCCCAATGAAAAAGCAGCTGAAGAAACGCAACTTTTTTCCTAGTTCAGCTGCTTTGTTTGCAGCTCTCTGTGACATTTAGGATGTAACGACCAAAAGGTCCATGCTCTACACGAAAGCAACGTCTCCTTAACAAGTACTAATGAGCACTGTGGTATGCTGCATTAGTGGGCAGATCTAGTGCAAGGCATTAACACGATAGTCGGGTGAATACATTTTCAAGTTTCTTTAGGGCACCACTATTTTCAAGTTGCTTTAGGACGCCACTGCATAATAGAAAGATAGATAGATAGATAGATAGATAGATAGATAGATAGATAGATAGATAGATAGA